ACTGCAGAAGAGAATCTGAGGGGCATAATGACTTACAAGCTAAATATGAGTCAACAGTGTAGTATTGTTGCAAAAAAAGCAAACATCTTTCTGGGATGTATTAGCAGGAGTGTTGTAAGCAAAACACGAGTAGTAACTCCACTCTACAGTACTCCACACTAATTAGACCTCAAATGCGGAATTGTGTCCAGTTCTAGGTACTACATTTAAGGAAAGATGTGGATAAATTCGAGGAAGTCCAAAGAAGAACAAGAAAAATGATTAAAGGTCTAGAAAACATTACCTATGAGTGAAGATTTAAAGAATTGGGTTTTGTTTAGTCTGGAAGAGAAGATAGAGAAGGGGCATACTAGTTTTCAAGTACTGTACCCAAAAGGCTATTACAAGGAGGAGGGAGAAAAATTGCTTTTGAGGGTAGGACAAGGAGCAATTGGTTTAAAGCAATTGGGTTAAACTGCAGCAAAGGCAGTTTAGGTTGTACAATAGGAAGAACTTTCCTACCTATCAGTTTCGTTAAGCACTGGAATAAATTGCCTAGAGACATTGTGGAATCTCTGTCCCTGTCAATTTTTAAGAGCAGGTTAGACAAACACGTGCCAGAGTGTAAACTGAACTGGGTGACCTCTTGAGGTTCCTTCCAGTTCTGATTCAGCGAAGTGGGCAGTGAAGGCCTGGATCATGAGCCAGTTGGAAGGAGTCCATTTTAATCAATGGCTGAATGTGTTCTCCCCTGCTCATATTATGAATTTACAATGGAGACTAGAAACCACACCCATGTGGCATGAGATTTCCTCAGTCTATACAGATATTTTAAAGCAGAGTGCTTTTTCCTGGATAGTTTTTGAAGATCACACAACCTAATATAATAAAATACAGTGTTCTAATTGTGTTTTTAGATAATCTTAGATCATATTGGTTCATTTTTACCAGCTCCTTTATCTTCTTTCTCAGCAACTGCCCAAAGCTTAAAACAGGGTAGAGATATATACAAACTCTTCCTTTCATGTCTTTTCCTTTTAAATAGTAGATACAGTAAAACTCCAGTGGTCCGGCACCATCTGGAACCCGGAAGTGCTCCAGGCAGCCGGACAATTGGAGCTGCTCTGCCCCCACTGACCAGCAGCTGACTCGGGGAAGCTGGGGGCAGAGCAGCTGGGGTGCTGCCGGGTTGGTCCCACAGCGCTGAGGGGCGCATCTCCCCCACTCCACCCCAGATCCCTCATAGCCCCCCTGGGTCCTAAAGGTGCCGGATTATCGGAAGTTTACTGTACTAAGCCCAACTATACTGCAGTTGGGAGTGTAGATGACCTAGTTCGAGCTGAATTACCCTAGCCAGGGAGACTCACTTGCCGTTGCAGTGTAGACATCACCCCTGTGATCTGGAGAGCCCAGTGTTTGCTTCACACTTGTCACAATAGCTTGATGCAACAGCTGCCTTCACCTGAGCCGCAGGATCATTCATGCCCAAGCACTTCTCATCCTCCTAACCAACAGGCCCATGAACCTTCTGTGTTT